ACATGGAGAAAATCGTGCTTATTGTAAACTCGCGAAATCACTTGAATTCTAGCTCGATGAAGGGAAACGAGACAGCCACAGAAGAACGTCATGAGCTTATATCTCAACTAGAACAACAAGGAAACTTTTATTGTACACTTAATTCCTTCAAAGTATCAAATCATATCAAGCAACATAATCTTCCTACGAGGGCCTAGAAGGAATGATGACAAAGACGTTTACTATTCTTATCCTACTACACGAAGGAGAAAACCATTTGAGTGCTAACGTGCTCAACTCGATTTCTTATTTCTCGCGGATCAAGTTATTAAATAGATTTACACCTGTGATACGAGAAAGCTTTAGTAAAATCTTCCTAAACGAGAACAATCGGAGTTCTCTGGAACACCAGAGAGTGACTAACAAACGGATGAACCTNAAATGGAGGTAAAGGATGATAATCGAGAAAGAGGATAAGATAACCAATCGATAACGATGAAAGTAAAAGAAAACGAAAAACAACGAAACGGTTGAACCTTCCAGAAAACTTATCCGAACTACAACGGCGGGGACGAAACTACAGAAAACGAGAAAGACTAAGAAATCTAATCAATATAGTATGAACATATCGCTGTTCCCTAATACTGCCAAAGGAAGGAAATGAATTACTGACACAGCTCTCTGTCACAAAATCAGAGGAGCAGTTCTCAAATTTTGCATAAATTGAGCCGATGTATCATTAACACAAACCAAGGTTCATTCCAAGTTTCAATCTTGATCTCCATATGTGCAGATTGGTGTAAGAACCATTCTGTCACAAAACTCATGTTAGGGGAGCGTTTTCACAATCAAAATTCGAATAATTAAGCAGAGTAGGAGAATGAGAACATCTAAGCTTCCTTTTCCATGAAAATAAGGACAAAAACGACGAAAAATTGTTGGAATTGAGACTTAAAAAATAACAAAAAAGTTGAAAAATTAATTCTTATCAGTCCTGCCACGATTACCGAAGGAGGGAAAAATTTTAAATTTAAAAAAATGCGATGACGAGTGTCATAGATTAACCTCCCGCCTGGGAGGCGACCCGTCGGACCTAATGAGCACGTAAAACCTGACGTACATATGAACTTTTGCCCCGTACATCGTACGTTTGTTAATATGCGCATATTTAGTATAATCAAGTTTTATTATATTTAAAACCTTTTTATCACATTTAAAATAGTATTAGGGAAGTTTTAATTCAAATTTTCTTCAAAAACAATGAGAAACACAGAAAAAAATGATTCAGAAACGCCCCACACGGCTCAAAGCGTTGATCACGGCAAAAATGAAAAAATGCCGGTATAAAGATACACAGTCCGGTTATAGGTATGACAGTTATGAACATAGGATGACCATGGCTTCCTTCGAACTTTCTTAGAACAAGGAGTTCCCACCAATGGACATACTGCTTGAATCTCCATTATCAGTGTTATAGATATAAACTGATGTTGATGAAGATTTTGTCCACAACGGAAGTCGCATAGACTCAAAGATTCCATCTTCTCATATGATGAGCGTGATAGAACTTGAAAAATAACGCGAAAATAACAACAATCATGTGGGAAGTGAAACTCGAAGGAAAGTAAGAAGACAGTGCTTGAGTTAACCGGCAAGAGCATAAAGCTTGATTGGTGAAAACGTCGAAACAAGCGGACGGGGAAGACATCAGAGCATGCACAAAGTCAAATGAAATGCCAATCCTAATCGTGAAATTCAACAGATGAATTTACAAATACGAGTATCACAGTGAAGACAGATAGAAGTTCAAGAAAGCAGAAAGTCTCTCTCCGACATTTATAAGAACATCTCGTTTTTTGCAAATGATATTACTGTTAATTAATTAGTTAATAAAGATAGTCAGTTAGTTTTTGAAGAAAGCAAACCGAAGAAATCTGAGAACCTCATAAGAGCATCTCAACAACTTTCAATGATACTACCTACGA